TCACCGTAGCGGGCGGCGTAGTCGGGCGTGGGGAGGAGCAGGACCCTCTCGTAGGCCTTGCACAGGGCCTTCGTCTCGGCCAGGTAGGGCTGGCAGGAGGTGCCCATCAGCAGCACCCGGTCCTCGGCCCTCAGCAGCTTCAGGGCTCTGGGCAGGTCCCTCTTCAGCCGCTTGGGGTCCAGCTGCACGGGAGGGGGGGGAGACAGCTGTGCGCCCGCCCGGCCCCCCACCCGGATCAGGACCCGGCCAGGAGCTCCCGGGGCCAGATTCGGACGGGAGGGGGCCGGGAACCGGCCAGGGGCCTCTTGGGCGGCCAGGGGAAGGTGCCCCCCCTCCCCCGGCCCAGCCTGGCCTCACCTCCTTCTCCTCCTTGGGGACCTTCTTGTAGAACATCTTCTCCGCGCCCCCGACCCAGAGGACGGACGGCTGCAGAAGGCGGGCCACCTGCACTTCCGGGGACGGAGGGGTTGGAGGGGGCAGACAGAACGAGTAGGATGCTGCGGCTGACCCTGACAAGGATGGACTTGAGCCAAAAGACACACACACACACACACACCCCACAAGAGCCGCCCCCAAGTCAAGTCAACTTGGCACACAGCCTGGCTTTGGTTCTTCTAGCCCGGTGTTTCAGGATCGGAATCAGAATCAGAATTGGAATCAATCCGAATCCAAATCCAAATCCAAATCAGTTGGAATCAGAATCGGAATCAGAATCAGAATCAATCCAAATCAGAATCAGAATCTGGATCCAGATCGGATTGGATCAGAATCAGAATCAGAATCAGTCGCAATCCGAATCAGAATCAGAATCCATTGCAATCAGAATCCGAATCCAGATCAGAATCAGAATCTGGATCAGAATCCATTGCGATCAGAATCCGAATCCAGATCAGAACAAGAATCAGAATCCGGATCCGGATCAGAATCAGAATCAGAATGAATCAGAATCAGAATCAATTGGAATAAGAAGAATCAGAATCAATCCAAATCCGAATCAGAATCAGAATCAGAATCAATCACAATCAATTAGAATCAGAAGAATCAGAATCAATCCAGATCCGAATCAGAATCAGAATCAATCCGAATCCGAATCAGAATCAGAATCAGAATCAGAATCAGAATCAGAATCAATTGGAATCAGAAGAATCAGAATCAATCCGGATCCGGATCAGAATCGGAATCGGAATCGGAATCAGAATCAGAATCAGAATCAGAATCAATCCGAATCCGAATCCGAATCCGAATCCGAATCCGAATCCGAATCTGAATCCGAATGTGGAGGTTCTGGACCCCCCACCCACCCCGCTGCTCTTTCCCAGCGAGCACCAGCTGGGAGGGGAAAGAGGGGAGCCCCGCCCCCAGCCCCGCCCCCTGGGCCAGGAGGGGGCCCCTCCCTGCCACTCGCCAGGTGCTCCGGCTTCTCCCTGCAGGACCCCCGCCGCCCGCCCACTGGGGAGGGGGCTTCCGTCGGCCAAGGGTGCTCCGTACCTTGAAGACCAGGTGGAGCAGCATCTGCAGGCCGGCCTTGCCCGGATACTTGCCGGCCAGGTTGTCCGGGGAAAGGTCGAAGAGGTTGGCCCCCGTCTCGGTGCAGACAGCGTGGACCAGCATCCTCTTGCCCGTGCCCGCCGGGCCGGCCAGGAGCAGCGACCTCACCAGGGGGGCCAATTCGTGCAGGGTCTGGGAACCTGGCGGGGCAGGAGGGAGGGAGAGAGAGAGATGGGAAGGTTGGAGAGGGGCAGAGACCCCGAAGCCCAGACCGACCCCGAGGCCAGAGGGGGCGGTCGCCAGCTCACCCAGAGGAAGGATCGCGTAGAGGGCGACGTTCTGCCGGACGTCCAGCATGGAGGGGACGGGCTCAATGTCCTTCTGGCGCAAGGCGGTGCCCAGGTAGCAGAAGTCCCCTGCGAGGGAAGCAGAGGCCCAGCGCTGAAGGGCTCCACGGTGGGGGCACCCCGGGAACGGCAGGGGCCCCCAACCCAGGAGGGCCGGCCAAGCTCCCTGTCTCCAGGACGGCAGGGGCACCCCCCACGGACGGCAGGAGAGGAGCCAGGCAGCCCACAGGCCGCCCTCTGGCACCCAGGCTCCACGGCCGCCTTCGTGGGGGCCGCTAGATGGCCTTCAAATGGGGCCGGAGGGCCGATGGGGGGTGGGAATCTCACCACGGATCGGCACGACCGACTTCCTACTATGCCGCCGGATCCAGACTCACGCGGGGCTTTACGGAATAACCGGAGGGTCCACCGAGCGAGTACGGAGAGGGACCTTCCCCGACTGCTGGGCAAAGGGCCGCCCCCTTAACCCTAACCCCTAGCCCTTACTGCCCAGAGCTCAGCCCTTCCCTTGCAGGGGCCCTCCAGGAAAAGGGGAGAGGGGCCCGGGAAGAGTCCGTCCTCGTCCGTCCTGTCCTTGAAGCACGGGACCGCCAGGGTGGGCCTGGAGTCCCCCCCACCCTAGGCTGCCCGTGAGCCTCCGCCCTCTGCAGCGGAGCCCCCCCACCCCGTTCAGGGTGCCCCCCCAGGGGGGCTAGGCCTGGCTGACGAGGGCAGGGGGCCCCGCTCCAGGCCCTCACGCGTCAGGGTGCTGCCGGGCAAGCTTGGACAGCGGGCAGCCTTAACTGGGATTGTTCGGTGTAAGAAGCGATGGGTGAACCCGGGATTGAGGGTCCCGCCAGAGCCCAGAAAACCGGATGAAGACCCCCTGCTCTGCCTCGTGAACTCAGGTTCCTGTCTGAGGGGACCCCGTAGCATTCTGTGAGGTGGAGGGGGGAGTTTGGGACATCTGAAGTGGACACCACCCTGGGAAGCAGACTTGATGGGACACCGGCACCCCGAAATACCAGATCTGAGTCCCAACAGGCTGACATCCGGCAATGAAGGGCTCAGACAAGTGGCACAACGTCCAGCCAGGCGCCACTCCGGTCCTTTTTTTGGGCAGGGGGAGGTTCTACCGAAGAGGAACATCTGGGCAGCCCCCACGGACCCTCCCCAAGGACCCGGCTGGCAGCTGAACCGGTGCCGAGGACGAGAAATGAGGGGGGAATTCGGCCAGCCGTGCCCACGTTCCACCGCCCCTGCTTTTGGTCAGAGCGAGGGCTGGGTGGGCTGCTTCCCGCTGAGGTTCCCAGCCACGGGAGCGGAGGGGGGGCTTCTGAGAGGGAGGGGGGTACGGACACTGACCTGAGTAGTCGGCCAGCTGCACCTTCGGGGGCTTCTTAATGATGCCCTGGAGGACCAGTTCCTCGTAGAGGGAGTCGATGGTTCTGGAAGGGAAGCGAGAGGGGGGGGCTAGGGGTTGCGTCAGCCCCAGACAGCCCCCCCTTCCTCCCTCTGGCGGCTGAAGGGGGGACTGAGCGAGGGGAGCCCCACCCTCGCAATGATGGGAAGGAAACCGGGATGGTGGTGGTGGGGGGTCAACCCTGGGCGAGCAGGAGCCTCGGAGGGTCTCCGGGGGGGGCTGGGCTTCCGGGGGGGGTTTTCCTGAACCCTCTGCCCCACCAGACTGTGGGAAAAGATGTGGAGAGGATAAAGAAATGGCGGGTTGGAGAACTGGAGGGAAGGTCTGCATTTCAAGCGAATGGGAGAAGGTGATTTATGACTGCTAATTGGAGGAGGGAATTGTGTGTTAATACTATGTGCTCCGGGGAGGGGAATTCTGGGGAGGGGAATTCCGATGTTGGCTTCAACCATGTACGTGCCGAAGCTACGCTGCCCCAATAAAGATTCTTTAAGGTAAACAAGGCCTTGAAGTTCTTTGAAGAGATTCATCCGTCGGAACCAGGACACTCTGAGCTTCCTGACGTGCGGGCCATCCCCCCGTTTCTCCTTCCTTGCATTGGTGGCTACAGGTTCTCCCCCCCCCCCCGCACGCACACACACACACACACACACACACAATGTCCAGATCCAGATTGACAGGTGTCTCTCTTCCCGTGCAGCCACAGGAGGACGAGGACGAGGACAAGGAGGAGGTACCTCAGAGGTTATGTCTAGTTTAATGTCTAGTTTAATTAAGAGAAGGACGAGGGGGGACTTGATAGCAAGTGTTCCAGTATCTCAGGGGTTGACCCAAAGAAGAGGGAGTCAAGCTGTCCTCCAAAGCGCCTGAAGGCAGGACGAGAAGCAAATAATCAAGGAGAGAAGCAACCTAGAACTAAGGAGAAACTTCCTGACAGTTAGAACAATTAACCAGTGGAACAACCTGCCTCCAGAAGCGGTGAATGCTCCAACACTGGAAGTTTTTAAGAAGAGACTGGACAGCCATTTGTCCGAAATGGTATAGGGTTTCCTGCCTGAGCAGGGGGTTGGACTAGATGACCTCCAAGG